CAAGTCCTTATGTCCAATTTACTGAATAAAACCCTAGGCCCAAAAGAGGCTAGTTGAATATCAAAAAAAAAAAAAAATAAATGCAATATAATGAAAACATTAAACAACTGCACAATTGAGTACAAAGACTTAAAAAATTGCAAAATACTAAGCCAAGAAATAATGTCAAAGCAAATAAGTAGTCTCTTTTCAAGACTTAATAGATAAGATAATGTGGATGAATTAACAAGATTTAGAATAGCTTAAGGATGTCAGAAAGCAGACTTAACAAAGAACTTTGAGATAATAAAAGAAAAATCAAAGTTAAAAAGTTTTGGAAAAACAACTTAGCCTGTCGAACAATAGCTAAAACAAAAGAAATAAGAATAAACATCAAAGCAAAAAAACCCTTATAGAAAGTTTACAAACATGGTAAACAGATAAGAGACATGTTAAATACAAAAACATAGATAGCAAATAGCAGCACAATAAATAAATAAGAGTTATTATATCTAAACTAACTTATAGATATAAAAAGTGACAACCTGAACACATAGAAACAGCTCAAGAATTTTTAAGGTCTGTTATACAAAAAAAAGAAAGCTAAATGGTTTAGCAAAATAGAGAGAAAGATGCTGAGAATACAAGTAAACAGAGAAATACAAGACTACTACAAAATAGAAAAATACAATATATAAGTGTTAAAAATCAAGTAAACAAAGATGTCTGAAGACTAAAGAAAAAAAGAATAAATTATACATAGACCAAAACATAACTAGCAACTAGATAAAATAATTAAAAAAAAAAGTGTTAGCAGAGCATTGGTTAATGTATATAAAAGAAGAAAAGATATTAACAGAATTAAGTATATGCAAAGGTTGTAAAAGCAATTCAGAATAAACAACAGACAAATGCAAAAGATGAATAAGATAAGATCACAATATGAGAGTAATATCAGAGTTACTAATAGAGAAAACTAACAATAAAATAAATGCAACTTTAGAACAGATATTGGAAGATAGAATAATAGAAAAATGGAAAAGAGATAAAATAAAGTTACTAAGAATAAGACAAACAGAAGAATTAGAAGTAGAACTGATTAGAAAACAAGAATTAAATAGCATGATTACAAATCAGTTAGTAGAAATATTAATATGAAACAAGAAAAGAGACAAAAGAAAATACAGTTTCTATACTAATAGAGCATTATATAAGAAGAAAAAAGAAAACAATACAAAAAGAATGAGTATTAGTTAGGTACAAGTAGGAAAGGAAAAAAATTGGCCAGAGGAGAAAACCACATTAGAACTTAAAGATTGGCCTTCAGCAATAATAACAGAATTAGTAGCAATATGAATAGCAATCCTAACAGTATCAGAAAGAAAAAGCATAGAAGTGTTTACAGACAGCATTGCAGCATTAAGGAATATTAATAGAGTACTTCAAAATATAGATGAAAAAAAAATACTGAAAAAGAAAAACACAATATGAATAATAAGTATTGTAGGTCTTATTAAGAACAAAAATATTAAAATAGAAATAATTAAAGTTAAAAGTCATAATAAAAATAAGTGAAATGACAGAGCAGACTCTTTTGTAAAAAAAGAAGCAAATTATCAAAATATAATATATATGGATAAAGTCAAATATAATGGAATAAAGTACTATTTAGAATAAAAAAACAAGAAAATTGACATACTAGCAAGACTTTTGTGTAAAATAATAGCAAATGTCAGAACAAAAACTATTTGAAAAGAGACAAATCCAATATAAATAGTAGAACCAGAAACAGAAAATACACTATATAATCAGTCAAGTTTTTGAAAATAAATAAACAGAACAAAAAGAGTTTATTGTATATCAAGAAAACTTAGTACAAGAAGAGCTATAGCAATCAAGTGCATAATGGACAGCCTACTAACACTTGAGAAGCTAAACAGAAGAAGATTAGAAGTATATACAATAGCAGAGTGCCAAATATGCCAAGTTGGAGAAAAAGAGACTCAGACATATTTAGCAAGTTGTAATAAACAAAAGAGTTTGTAGAAGCAAATTTAAAAAGTTATAACAGTAACAGTATGAAACAAACTTAAGAAAGAAGAAAAAACCAAAATCCTACTACAGGTTCTATACAAGGCAGTATTTGGAGAAACTGAAACTGAAGAAATTACAAACAGAAAAGTGCTAATAAAGAGACATAATGCTAAAAGTAGGAAAAAGGCTTGAGTAACTTTTAAACAAGTAGGCAACATAGAAATGCATAGATATAGTTACAAGAATAGTATAAAACACCTTCTATAACCAAGTATGGAGAGTATAATGTAAAAAAATACAAGCATAAGAAAAAAAGATCAATATAATAAATAAAATAAAAAAAGATGCTTATGCAAGAAAAAAACAAAGAAGAGGTTTAAAAAAGATAAATAGGCAAAAGAAAAAAAAAAAGAAAAGAAAGCAGAAAAGGCAGATCAAATAAAGAAAGACGCTTTGAAGACAATAAATATATTTATTACAGAAGGAAAAAGACTCTTCTGGTATGACTTTAAGTAGTTAGATGAGCAGTCAATTTCTAACTAAGATAGTATAGCAGGTTGCACTTAGATACCATTAGGGTGGCCAAGTAATATTAGACTTAGATATTGGAAAATTTTATGCAATTGTATATATATATAGTTTCAAGAATCTTAATAAAGTACTAGTATAACTGCTTAAGGTTAAAAAAAAAATAAATAAATAAATAAAATACCTGTAATTATAGTTATATTAGTTTTTTTTTTTTTTAATATTAAGGTGAGTATATGTGACTCAGGATTTTACTGATAGTATAAGTTGGCCAGCGCCTGTACATGTACAGACACAGAGACAATTACAGAAAGAGTGTACAACTAGCCACTCGTACAACTTTAGTCATTGTCTAATTTAAGTAGTTTGCCTAAAGGTTCTATACTAGTTGCTATACCTAGAATCCATCTGTAGATCCTCTATTTAAACATTCTGATCTTGCATCTACCACACCCTACTAGCGACTTCAGTAAACTGGTAAAGATATGCCATGATTACTAAGTCATGTTTAACTTTGTACTAAACCTACTGGTGCGTTCTGTATCTTATATTTACAGCTCAGCTGGTCACACTTTGGTCTAAACCATCACTTGCAGTCAGGGCTAACCATTAAACCACTTTTACCCTTGCAAGATTCACCCAAAATCCTGGTACCCATCTTTCTGACGTCCTCTCTATCATCCCCTACTAACTGCTACTCAGGACCGACAGGACTCCCCAGACTTCCAATCCAGATGGCCTGGTATGATATACCTTAGTATCCTTTTCCTCTAGTAATTTTGGCAGCCTAGTTGGTCATGTGCTCCTCTACACATCTTGCCATCTAGTTTATTCGCCTATCCCTTTGGGGGTGTTTTATGGGCTTCCATCAGTCCAACAGCATTGTCGAAAGTTTTGTGCTACCTCCTTACTTGGAATTTCCAAGTGGGTTTTTGACTCTCCAGTTCCTTTGCTTTCCGTGCCTGGTGGTCTTATCATGGGTTTGCACTGAAGTCTTATGCAACACTGGTTATTAACATTCTTCTATATAGGTGTAACATTACACTTAGTATAGATGCCCCGAGCTCCCATTCGAGATGGTGCAACAAAGATTACAGATACATCAATCCAACCGATTGACAGAGACAGTTACCATAATACAGACCTATTTTCCAAAATTTGTCATCCATGGGATTTGAACTCTAGACCTGCCACTTGAGGGTTAACAATCTGCCCACTTCACTAGGTCACTACACCCTTTATAGTTATATTAGTATAGTTAACAGATTATAAAACATCTATATAAACTTGATTATACAAAAAGATACAAATCAATACTAGTCAGTACAAACTTAAGATAAGTTCTTGTAATTATATAAATTCATAAAATTGACAAAAATTAAAACCTTCTTAGAAAGACTTAAATAAAAAGATAATATAGATCTTTAATAATATTATTATAAAAGCTAAACTAAGAAAATAAATATTATATAAAAGAATTAGATAGGCAAGAACCTTTAGATAAGAGATATTATTAATTAGACTACTAGATTAAACTAAAAAAAGATATCAGGCCAGACTTAATATACTAAAAACAGATTATAGTTCTTTTAAGTTATCTGAATTAGAAGTTTAAAAACAAATTAAAAATATACTAAAATACTAAAGATATATTATAAAGTAAATATTAAAATACAGATAAACTTTAAAGAACAAGTTCTTATTAATAGTCTATAGAGTAGATAAATAATTAACAAGAAAGGCCTTTTGAGCTTTACTAACAAATATTATATTTTAAAATATATAATAGTCTAAAAACCTGTTTAAAAAAAAAGTATTATACTGCTTAGATAGTATTACAAAGTAGATTTTAGTATAATATATTATAAAATAATATTAGTAGTTGGAATTGAAGTCAAAAAAACTATAAGTAAGAGAACAGTACAAAGATAGTTAGACAAGTTAGAGTGGAAATATTAACATTATTAAAAAGGATTATATATTGATAGTTATGAAAAAGCAGATGTTATAGAATATAGACATATATTTTTAGAATATATGAAACAATTTGAACTATTAATGCCAAGTTGGTCAGATGATTTAACCCAACAAATTAATCCAGTTTTGCCTAAAAATAAAAAGTTACACATATTAGTAACACATGATGAAACAGTATTTTATACAAATAATGACCAAAAAATGTTTTGAGAATCCAATAATGAATAACTATTATGTCTTAAATCACTTGGAAGTAGCTTAATAGTCAGCGAGTTTCTTTGTAATACAATTAGTCAGCTTTGATTAAATGATATTTATAAAGAACTAAATAGTTAACTTCTATCTAAAAAACAAATTCCTAGTAAGGCTTGCTATATAATCTGCTCTTGTGCTCATTATGATGAGTATTGAACTAGAAAAGATATTGCAAATTAATTAAAAAATAAAGCAATTTCTATTTTTGAAACTATGTATCCTAATTGTGTTGCTGTTTTTGCTTTTGATAATAGCAATAATCATGATGCATTTGCTAAGGATGCTTTAGTAGTATCAAGAATGAATTTTAAACCAAAAGGCAACCAATTCAAAATGAGAAAAACTTATATGCAAAATGAAGAACAGCAAGAAATAGTATTTTCTGATAGAACTCCAAAAGGAATGCGTAAAGTTCTTGAAGAAAGAGGTTTAGACTATTTTGGTCTAAAAAAAATTTGTAAAAATTATAAAAAAAGGCTTTTTCAAGAAAATAACTGCTGTGCTATATGAATCTTAAATTTAGAGCCTAATTTTATGAATCAAAAATCACTTCTAGAAGAAATAGTTAAAAAAGCTAATCACAAAATAATTTTCTATCCAAAATTCTATTATAAATTAAATTATATTAAAAATTATTGGAGTGCAACTAAGAGATATACATAAGCAAATTGTAATTATAGCTTTAATGCATTAAAAAATACTGTTCTAGCAGCTCTTGAATCTGTTTCTTTAATTCAAATATAAAAATATACAAGAAGCTTTTTATGTTATATGAGTGTATATAGATTGGGCTAATCTACAAAGCAGACTACTTATGCTGTTCGAAAATGTAAATCTTATAGAAGAGTATCAAATAATATAATTAGCAAATTGGATTTTAATTAGATTCTAATATTATAGTTGTTTTTTTTTTATTATATAATAGTTTTTTTTTTTATAAATTTATTTTTTATACATTGCTTTATATTACAATTTTTTTTTTTATAAATCTATTTTTTAAATGCTATACTTATAATATTATATATTACTATTAAAATTAATAAATTTATACTATAGTATAGTTAGTATTTTTTATTAAATATAGTATTATACTATATATTAATATTATACTATAAATATTATATATATTGTATAGTATTACAATTTAATTAGATTATTAGTCATATGATTAATATTTTTAAAATTTTTGATAGCTTTTTGTAATTTTTCTATATATAAATAAGTGCTAAAATTTTTATATTAATTAATAAAATTATATATTTTTAAAACTTAATAACTTTATATTGAATAATTTATTTCAAAAAAGCATTCTATAAATATATTTTACTACTTATATAGAATATAAATATAGAAAGTTTTTTTATATTTTAATTATTTTTTTTGAGTTATTAAATTTTTAAAAAATTAAATATTTGGGATATGATTAGCTGTCTCACACTATAGTTAAAATGATTAACAAAATAGATGATTAGAAGATTTAAATAGATAATCTTCTAGTAATTATTAGTATAATATCTAGTATAAAACTCTAAAACAAATTACTTAAATAAACAACTAAAAATTATACAAATAGTTAGCTGTACTCTTATTTTTATAAAAATAATAATACTAACTTCAATATATATTAATAAAATTAACTATCATAAAGTATAACTTTTATTAATAAAAAAAAACAATAACAAGAACAATAATAATAATAAGTAAAAAATTTTATTAACTCTTTTTGATAATTATCTAAACTAAGTTTATATCAAAAAAAGGGGTGTGGCGACTTAGTGAAGTGGTCAGGTTGTCAACTCTCAAGTGGCAGGTCTAGAGTTCAAATCCCATGAATGACGAATTTTGGAAAATAGGTCTGTATTATGGTAACTGTCTTTGTCGATCGGTTGGATTGGTGTATCTGTAACCTTTGTTGCACCATCTCGAATGGAAGCTCGGGGCATCTATGCTAAG